TTCTCTCTCACACCAGAGGAGACGGAGATAAAAACAAAAGGTATTAACACACCAGTTAATATTCTTTAAAGAATAAAATCTATACCGTTGCTTTTTCCCTTCGGATTAACGACAAAGTGGGATTTTTTTCTCAGTAACGTACCTGTTACTAGCGTGTCCACTCCACGCCGACACCCCGGCGAACAAAGATGGACCCTTCTCTCCCTCACACCAGAGGAGTCAGGGACTCGGAGGCTCGGCTATGCGGCTGCGGGTTTAAGATCTCAGGCACAGACTCACACCAGGTCTGCTNCCCAAACCTGCCTTTATACCTAAGGTGGTTGGTTCATGTACCCCCATTGACATTGTGGCATTTCCTCCGCCGCTGTGTTCCTCTGAGGAACAGCGGCCGAATTTGCTGTGTCCAGTTCGTGCTTTACGCACCTATATGGACAGGTCAAAAGAGTTTCGTTGCAATGACCAACTCTTTATATCCTGGGCTAACCCTCAGAAGGGCAAGCCCGTTACCAGGCAACGGCTGGATTGTGGAAGCGATTGCTCTGGCTTATACGAGTCAGGGTTTGCAGACACAAACAGGCCTGCATGCTCATTCTACTCGTGGACTGGCTACATCCTGGGCTTTGTTCAAGGGTGTTTCCATCCAAGACATTTGTGCAGCAGCGAGCTGGTCCTCACCGCTCACTTTTGTCCGCTTTTACAGGCTAGATGTCTCTGCTCAAAGTGTGGCCCGCGCAGTGCTGGGCCCCGTGTTGAGACAGGGTTCTACCTGTTAAGTTCTGGTTGTTTTGGTGATTTTCGAGATAAGCATGTCTAGCAATACGGGAGTTTCAATATCCCATAGTGAGACATCGAACGGAGTGTTATGAATGAGAACTATAGGTTACTTACGTAACCCCAGTTCTCAGAGTAACATGAAGTGAGATGTCTCACCAGACGGTCCTTCTTGCTAAGGCAAAGCGAGAAGAGGTGCTTATTTTGAATGACGCTGCGTCGTAGCGCAAGCTACTTATAGGGTGGGTGGATTCACTGACGTAGACGTCAAGATCACCAGCCAATCAGGATTGGCGTAATGAGATTGATGCTTCTGTTTGCATACGCGTTGAGGCGCATCCCATAGTGAGACATCTCACTTCATGTTACTCTGAGAACTGGGGTTACGTAAGTAACCTATAGTTACTCAAACAACTTTTTTGAACATCATATTAGTCCACTCAATTTAAACGTTACGTTTATAATATACAAAATAAATAGTTTTAACTGTTCGCTTGTTTACAACCCTTAAGTTGGTTCAACATAACCTGTTCATTTTCCAATGAATCAGAAAAATGTAATGTCTTTTTAAAACCAGAATGTAAACAAATCCCTGTCCCCTAGATTGTAATCAACTTTTTCTGATGGATTTGTAAAAGAATAAAAATGAATGCACCTTAATCTAAAGAAAAGTTGTTATGCCCACAAACGCCTTTTTACATTTTGAAAATATGCAAAAATGTTTACCCCAGCTCCTACAGAAAGGCTTATTTTCCATAATGTAGGAATATAAATGGGTTAATAACACAGCTTTTAGATGGATGGTAATGAGGATTATTATCCTTAGTGCAAAAGGAGATATCCCTTGGTTTCCCCAAATTCTGGTCCTGGACTTTTCATCGAGTAATAACACATTTTATTGGTGAGATTATAATTATGTGAGCATTTTGCATAACATAATTATCACAGTGCCACATACTGCACACACTTCCCAGCAGTCAGTTTAGGTCAACTTCATTATGCCTCCTGGCAATGACAAGAAATGAGAGAAACTCAATTATATATACAGACATTTGAATCATTTATTATTTTTCAGCCCCATTAGTGTATGAAACAATGATACAAAACATGCCCCCGTCTTGGACATCAAGAGCTTTGGTGCCAGATGCCCTGCGTTTCTGCACAGCGCTCTCACAGCTGCAGTGTGAGTGATAGTTTCCTCTTCGCAGGATGTCTATGTTTTCACTTTCAGATCACTTTTATGGGCTAATAGAATTGTCTGAAAATCAAGAAACTGATGTAAAATGACAATTTGTCCAACATTTGTGTGTGTATGCGAGAGATGTCCAATGTGTCTGGGAAAAACTCATGCAGATAGACTATCATTATCCGCGGGGCAGGCTCTGATGTCTATTCACTCAAGGCTAGCCAGGTTGGCATCCATCTTGGCCCGAGCCCCAAGCCAGCACACTGGGCAGGACAGAGGTAGGGTTAGATTTGGAATAGTGTGCTCTGAAACAAAGCTTCAGGGGGAAAACATCATCTACATAAAAATAAATCGTCAGCTTTTAAAGGGGAATCAAGTCAACAGGGAGAAGCCGTTAGTAGATACGGATAGACCTGATGGAGCAAGTGTTTATTGTTTTTAACGAGTCGCCCATAGGTGGTGGTCAGAAGCCCTTTATAATAAAGCTTTGTGTGATGGGGAATTTATTCTTGGCAAACGCTCCCGTCTGCGAAGCAGTTAGTACAAGATTAGACATTATGATCTATATTTTTATCCTGCCCCTTACTGTGGGCTCCAGTGACAATTTAGATGATCCTAACATGAGACATTTGCACATGAGTAAAAAAAAGAAAGAAAGGCAGTTTGATAGTTAAAAATATTTTATTGTATAGCTTTTGAGTCATCTCTTGAAGAAGAACCTTGTAAACTGCATTTTTCACAATGAAACACTAATAATAGAACACTGATTTATGTGAAGAACAGAGACTTATGTGATCCAGTGAACATCTCCATTTAGTTTTAACATAAAAATGTAGGAACTGTAATTTATAACCATATTCACTTACTATGTAACTACAGAAGCCTTTTACAATGTGTTAAACTGGGCCTATTTTAATTGGAAATGATATTGGTTTCTTTATGGACGAAATTAATTGAGGCAGAGAGGAGAATAAAACCACACAAAATAATTTGTTTTTTTTATCGCCTCTTCTCTTTATTTATAAATATGTTGCATTCATTTTAGGCCTTAGGGATAAATTATGTTCAACTTCAATTGACATTGTGTACTGAAGATTATTTTCATCCAAACAGTAAAGCTCTTTTTGTGACAGTATATGACAAAACAATGCTTGTTAAAATAAGAGGCCTGGGCTTTTATCTTTCTTTTGTTGTGGACAATAATGTTGGGGGGGAGTAGAAAAGTGGTCATTTAGATCTTGGCTCCATGACAGATGATACAAATTATCGATTCAAGGGAGACAAAAGAGAGAAAGGGATGTTATTTTGCAAATAACATACATTTTCATGCTTTTTTATTATTCGAACTGCACAACTTCAATTATTTGAAGTGGATATACATTCTCTATTGTCAAGAGTTGTTTTTGGTCCCGTTTTTAGACCAGCTCTCATACATAAGTGAACATGAATTCAGGGGCTGCCGAGGAGAAGAAACATCTCCTCTGTGACAGGAGGAATCGGGGTTTATGGAAATGTTGTGTTAATTGCATAGATATTCCCTTCAAGCACATTTAAAGAGAAGCGTCCACACTCCCTTAGGAGCCTGGAAATGTCTGTTTGGCTCATAACAAGTAAGAAATATCTTAGGGCTTGCTGAGCAATCAGAGACCTGACTAATCCATAATTAGCCATCAGGCAGATGCTTAGACACCTGAAAACCCCAATCTGTGCCCTCGTTAGGATTCTTGGAAGACTTTCATCCCAACATTAATATAGGCTATTTCGGTTTTTTTCTTAGTTTTTTTTTTTCCGATCGGGGGTGTTTTGCATCAACACCATTTTACATCTGGTTCATCATTCAATAATGTTCACCTCAATTACCTTAAAAGTCTCGTGCTTTTGACATTTCGTTTCAGTATTCTACATTTAGGAGTTGCATAATTAACACTGACGCTTTTCCCTGTTGCTTGAGATTATTTGTAACCTTAAAAACCTTGTTATATTTTTGAAACATTTATTGCAAGATTCAAGGAATGTTTTTAAAGAGTATTTGCTGTCTCTGGCCTTATGGGGTACTTTGAAATAATGTCTTCTTCTGTGCTCTTTCAGTCGCTGAAAAAGGATGACTCAGTGGCCAAAAAGGACGTGCAGAGGATTCTGGAGCTCAGCCACAAACAGAGGTAAATTGAAGCATCATGGATGACTTAGACATGAGTTGCCAACAGTAACAGGCTGCTCACGCCTGTCATCAAAATGTAGGTTATGCATTTATAATAACCTGAAGCAGTTGTGATTGATAAGATTCCAGCACAATATTTAAGATGGTCACTGCCAACAATGCCATAGCTGTTGGGAAAATGAAAAGTCATTGCTTTAAATACAGTTTTATGTAAGTATATAGTTATTACTTATTTAAGCTTGTGAAAACTCTTCAAATCAAGTAACAAATACTTTGAGCACCCCTGGATCGGAAAGTCATAATTCCAGTTATTTTTGCCATCAACGTAACATGAGTATTTTACATGAGAGATGCCCTTCTATAGCTTTGGTTGGCATGAAACTCTCCTGGTTAACTCATCAGTACAAATGATGAATGTGTTAGAAATGTACTAGTTTGTTAATAAAAAAAGAAAAGTAGAAGCCAGGGATTCTTAAAACATTTTTGGTAGGCACTTACTGCATCTCACAAGGTGCATTTCATCAACCAACATCCAATTGCTGAGGAAAAACATTTTAAAAGTCCTTATTGCTCGAATTCTACCTCTGGTCTGGGACCTAAGCTCATGGGAGTTGCAGTATTTGGCGACGTCTGCCAAGTTGAAATAACTGATTCACCATGGATGGAAAATAAAGCGTTCATATTGGATCACATACTTGTGCAGTAGAGAGAAGCGTTAAATAATGTCTGAGTTACTATTATTGATGTTTGTTATTTTAAGGTGTTGCTGTTTGCTTTAAAATGGCACTACAGTATATAAAGGAGCAGGTGGAGAATGCATAATCCAATCTTAAATCCTTCTTGTATATTCGAAAATAATTTGCCTGTCTGCTTTTTGTGAAAAAGCACATCAAATGTCTGTGATGTATTGCTTTATCTTTGTTCGGGCAAGCTGGAAAAGCGTTTACCTAAAGTGCTTCACCGGTTAGGATTGTCTGATTAATGCTGTGTGTAATGAGACTTTTAATGATTATGAGTCATTTGTGGCCTTCATGCTCTCTGAAATGTCAACCTGATTGAAGTCCAACCTTCAGTGTGCAGTATCCTGATAGCCAATCAATAGCCTATCACCAGTGTACGGCAGCACTCACATGTCATGAAGCTAAAAACCATAAAGCTGCAGCTTAGCTCGATGCTGCTTAGCTAGCAGTTGAGAGCTGCAATTTTTATTTAAAATGTTATTAATCCAACTTTGGAGTTCAATATCTGCCAAGTGTGATTACTAGCTGACTCAATCAAGGCGCATGCAGACAGGTGATTCATTGCAAGTCGTTTATTTTTGACAACCCTTAACAGCGATTTGATTGGTTTTGGTTTCGGAAAATATGTTTACCACAGACTGTAATGCAGAAACACATTTACAAAAGGACTAGATGCAGACGGCAACAAAATAATATTTTAAGGTTTAAAAATAGTAAAAAGGAATTCCGCTGTGATTTAACCTGCTGCTTATTTTAAGTATTGTGTTCTATGCTCACCACTCTGCTTTCAAGGTATGTTAGAGTCTCATTTACTGTGCCCTTTTTTGTGTGTTTGGGCAGTTTTGATCTGAATTTGTCCAAGCCTTGGATGCAGGAGATGAGAGAAGAAATGAAATTCCGTGGCAGTGGTGGTTGGCTGGTCGCTGTAAAGAAACATTTTTGCTCGGCTGAATTTATGCCAAGAGACAAGTTCATTGGCATGTGAAATCCTAGAGTGTATATAGCTGCAATGCAATGCCACCCTTTCCATACAAACATTGGCCGCTTCCCTACATCAGAGGCAGACTACAAACGCATCATGGACTTTTGAATGTACAGCCATGCATGGAAACAGTAAATCAAATGCTACCTCTAAAATAACTAGGCTTCCTCGTGGTGTGATTTCTACAAACGTTTTTGAAACCACTGACCCACATCCCTTGCCCACTTGATTGATAATTTAGTGTGCATTGCTGTTATCTGTGCACATGAGCATCAAACGATACTGAAATACACATTGCATACCAAGAATTAACATTTATGTTAAGTGCATAAAGAATGCAGCACCAGCCTTCAAACCGCATGCATTAAATCAGTGTGAAGCACTATAGGCGCATTCACACCGCAGTACTTTTCCTACAAAGGTTCATGAGAACTCTTTAGTTCTCATGAACTAAGTGCAGATCGCGTTCACACCGGAATAAGTCCCTGGGGGACGATTAGGCAAATAAAGCCGCTGACGTCACTTCTTCTTCTTCTGCTTTGGGTTTACTGGCAGGCCGCAAACAACTTCACGGCGTATACTGCCGCCCGAAGCCTTCTGAGTAAATCGCCAGAACGCCGACACCTCCTCATCTCCACCGCTCCCATGTTTTTTTTTGTGTTGCCATAAGTTAGTCTCTCTGCGTTTGTGCACTGGGCTAATGCTCATAATGCTAATGCGAGGATAATAAAATGGCGGTTTCACAAAACTTTTTGGGAGTTTTACGGGGCGTGGTTTGCATTCCGCCCGGCCAATCAGACATAGGAACCTTTTTCTCCCACAAAAGTCCCTGCTCTCTAGCAGGGACGGAAAAGGGAGTAAAAAGGTTCTGATGAACTAATTTTAGTTCCGGCTCTTTTTGGTGTGAACGCGACATTTCGGAACTATATTGGAACTAAAGTGGGAAAAGTACAGCGGTGTGAACGCGCCTTATGTTTTCTTTATATATATTCTTTAATGCATTATTGACCTTAAGTCTGTAACCTTAGCCATTATTGATATGTGCCTTCTTGGTCGTTAAACTGTACTTTATCTTGAGAAAAAAACAACAACATTAAAACAATAATCTGCAGCTGAACCGTTAAATCCAAACAGGGGAACTTTAAAGGATAATAAATAAATTTTAAACTATTGCAAAACAATATTGTTTTGACAGCAAAAAAAAAAGAATTGCCCAAAGACAATCAATTCAAATAAACTAAATGGAATATAGCAAATAAAAAAAAGGAAATGTTAGCACTCTTGCCAGTCAGTTTAGCTACCGGTACACATAATCTGCATTACCTGCATTACCTAATTACACTGTAAATAAGGTGCCACTGTTTGCATTACTGCATCAGTTTTCCTACTGGGAAAAGGTATAGCCACAATTGTTATATTTAAAATATAAAAGTCATATTGAATTGAGTGCTTTCTGATTGTTGAAACTTGAATTTACAGTATTTATATTTTCTTCACAAACTGCTATAATGTATACGTTTTATTTATATGGGTCTATGAACGGAAAACCTGATTTTTTTTTCTCCAACATTTCATTTTTTTCATAACATGAAATGTGACGTGAAATTACCTTACTGAGTGTCTGTGCAAAAGGACTCTCCTCAGTGGTATTTAAAAGAAAAGCTTTTGTGTGACAGTGTGGTCGAAGCCGCTGATGGTGCGAGCAGGGTCTGCTAACAGGGTGTTTCTCATTTCCCTCCCACTTGACAGAGAGGAGATGAAGTCCCTCCAGACAGCCCTGCAGAAGCAGCTGGAAGAGGCCAATGAGAGAGCGGAGAAGCAGCAGGCCACGGTAAGAGAGAGCTGACCTGACCGTCAACATCCAGTCTCCTCTAACCAGCGCCGTCACCTGTCACACAGTCCCCCCGTTATCCACACTCATTACCCAGCCAACTCTCTCGCTTCCTTGATACATCATTAGTTGAAACTCTCAGAAATTGAAAGAGAAATCTATGTGTCCTCCTACCCTGACACCCACGCAGAAATATTTGATAAGAACAGACAAAGGCATTATAGCCCAAGAACATGTTCTTATCTATCCATCAATCAATCCCACTGTCTACAGTATCCACTGTACCTGTATATCTCTGCTGCACACTACACTGACACCTTGCTTTATATTCCACACAGGTCTTAATCACTATCTAGCAAATAATTTAAATTAATCACAAGGTCTTTATAATTTCAGTAAAATGGTGAAGAACCCAAAGCCCAAGGTGATGTATTGAAATTGGAGCAGTAGTCTCTGACGTCAATATATTGAGTTTAATATTGAAGGAATCATATAAAAGCTGAACATTAACACTTGTTTCCAGTGGGAACAGGTTCATGTTTTGTCAGTTTAACCTGATGACTAATTTAGCTATTAACTTTATAATTTCAGATCCATTCATTTTAAATGTAATGATTAATAGAAGATGACACTATCTTCATAACTTAAGGATTTGTCCTAGGTCTTTAGACTTATTAATGTGCATGACTGAAACTAATTAAATTACCAAACAAATATTCTCGATAAGCATCTGTCATGGCTGTGGCAATACCACAAAGAAAATGGTAAGAGTCATCAAAAAATGCTGCCTTGACAAAATTAACTAATTAATAAGTGATAATTGTTGAACTTACATTGTATGCTGCTAGTTAAGAGCACTTTCACATAATGGTTACCAATGATATCAAAAAAGACTGCTTTAGTCCTTTGTTGTCCGTACTAAGGACACTGAAACAACTGGATTGAGTTACCAGCTATATCAAAACAATTATCATATATTTTTTAAAACATCATATATTTTTTTAAACAAATTAATAATCTTTTGAAGTGATTATATGAATTATTGCACATTGAATAGGTCAATATATGTATATATGTATTTATGTTGTGTATTAAGTTTATATTTACATTACATTACATGTCACTTGTTGAACGGTTTTACCCAAAACAACTTATATGCATTAAATAGTGTGGCCAATCCCTACAGAAGCCATTTGGGGTGAAGTGTCTTGCCCAGGGACACAGGGGTATGTTGACTGCAGTGGGGATTGAACCATTGCTTCCATGATCTGAAGATTAGCTCACTTACACTTAGCCACAGCCTACTGTACATTTGTCCATAAAGCATGTTTGCTTTTGTTTCCAGTCATTATACTAATTATATTTTAGGGCCTTTTCAAATGCTGTGTAGCAAGATAATCATATTGCTAACAATATATAACAATGTCATTAAAAATATGTTGTGACTTATTTGATTTAATATCCGAGCCCCAGTATTATGTTCTATAGTGAAAGCAGACACAAGTGCAAATAATTAAAATAAACCTTTTATTTTTTTCTTTTTTTAATCTCTCTGATCATTAAAATGAAAGCCTACCGTTTCCGGTTCTGTAAAAAGCATTTAGAACCGCCTTAAACCTTCATTTTTTCCTCAGGCCAGCAGGGTTCGACTTCTCTTGTTGCATAAAGCAGTGCAAGTGTGTAGAGGTCTATGAGAAAATGACCATACTACTCATTTTATTTGTTGTAAACATCAATGTAAGGTCTTAATTTATGGTTTCAAATATCCTTCTAACAGCATAATGTTTATTTTGCAAATGTTAGTCCCATAGAGAGTAAAATAGACCGTACAGCAGCGTATGCTACTTTGTGATTGACAGGTTACTTCCCCAGTGTTGTTTTTGTCTTTGAACATCAACTTTATGAGATTGTGTTTTTTTAGTTTATGAAAATCAATTGTAAATATTTAAGTTGCCTAAAAAAATTAGTTTGAGTGGTCCTTAGCCCCACCTTCTTGTGTCACTGCTTGTAAAAAACAAAAACAAGATAACGACAAACTCTTGGCATCTGAACTATACTGAACAAAGCAACTAGTGACTGTGTAGAGAGTTTCTGTGCGGGTTTTTCCATTTGATTTATACAGTCTATGGGTTTACTCCAAACAATTAACTGTTGTGTAGTCATGGTAGTACCTATAGCATGAAGTTATCACTATATTATTGTTTAACATATGTTGCCGGTGAAAAACCTATTTAACATACATTGTACTCAGCTAGTCTGTAGATGTTTGGTTTTACTTAAAGTTGTGTCTATGCATATGCTCTATCTTACTTTATTGCCCAACATGTGTGTCCCCATAGTATTCAGATAAACCTCCTCTTATTCTGCAACACAACTCCTTATCAACAAATCACCCTGAAGCCTGTTGTTCTGCAAAGAAAGCTACAGAGTAGCGCTGGAGTTTTTCTGGGATGTCCAGTATATGCTAATGAATTAAATGTAATAGTCACGGCTTCGTATGCACTGTTGTGAGATTTCATTGACAACAACAATAAACAATCAAAGCACATCATTAATATAACTCTAACATTTCAAGGGACATTGTTGCCAATTTCTAAAACGGTGACAAATCCCAGTTGCTCGGTTTTATGATTTGAGTTTGACATTTATGTTCTGTTAAATGGAATGTATCCCTCCTGCTAAGATTCCAAATGGAAAGGAACACCTCTGCAGCATATACAATGCCACAGACGGTCAATAGAACAATGAAATGCTGTATCTGGTTTAGATTCCTCATGTCCACATAACATTGAGTGGGAAAAAAGGACTTACAAGAACTCAAGAGAGATGGTCCAAAAATAGTTTTTTGTACCAAGAGCAAACAGCAAGCAGCAGACAGAAAATAAGTTATATGTGCCGATAGATACTGTATGGGCAATACATTTCAAGCCAATCTCTTTTTAAGACAGTGTTTTGCATCAGGGCGTTTTTGTTCTGTGCATAAATATTTGTATTTATTGTAGCTACTCTCCAATTTCTCGGTTTAGAGTCCTTAATTAAAAAACATTTATCCAATAGAATGTCATCTGACACACAGAAATTACTAATCAACATTCAAATGGTTTCAAATACATTGACTTGAGAATCAGTGAAAACAAAAATCATATATGTGTATATATATATATATATATATATATACGTGGATGACCTTAAATTTTTTGATGTTAAACACGACCAAAACTGAAGTTATTGTACTTGGCCCAAAGAATCTACGAAACAAATTACGTATCTAAAGATATACTAACTATGGATGGCATTCATCTGGCCTCCAGTTAGACTGTAAGGAATCTTGGTGTTATATTTGATCAGGATTTATCCTTTAACGCCCACATAAAATCAATTTCAAGGACCGCCTACTTCCATCTAGGTAACATTGCAAAAATCAGGCATATCTTGCCTCAAAACGATGCAGAGAAACTAGTCCATGCCTTTGTTACTTCAAGGCTGGATTAATTATTGTAACTCCTTATTATCAGGGTGTACCAAGAAGTCAGTCAAGTCGCTTCAGCTGATTCAAAATGCTGCAGCTCGTGTACTAACCAGAGTTAGGAAAAGGGACCACATTACTCCTGTTCTGGCTGCCTTACACTGGCTCCCTATAGAACACAGGATATAATTTAAAAGTCTTCTTCTCGCCTACAAAGCCCTTAATGGGCAGGCGCCATCTTACCTTAAAGAACTCATTATACCCTACTGTCCTACTAGGGCATTGCGTTCCAAGAATGCAGGGTTGTTGGTTGTTCCTAGAGTCTCTAAAAGTACAATGGGAGCCAGAGCCTTTTCTTATCAAGCTCCACTTTTGTGGAATCAGCTTCCAGTTTTTGTTCGGACGGCAGACACCCTATCCGTTTTTAAGAGTGCGCTTAAGACCTTCCTTTTTGATAAAGCTTATAGTTAGGGCTGATTAGATTCAGCCCCTAGTTTTGCTGATATAGGCTTAGTTTGTCGGGGGACATCTTACTTCTTCCTTCTCTCTGTCTATACCTGTGTACTCTCATGTTCCGATTAACCCAGCTTCCCCAAATTTCTTTCTTTTTGGTGTCTATATACGCCGTGATCCAGAGTCATGGATGATCCTGCGGTCCTGTGTCATGGATCGCAAGTCCTGGATCTTGAGTCGTGGCTGTGGTCCTGGATCATAAGTCCTGGATGGATATTCTCGTGGATTAGTCTTCCCATTATACACACATGCATTTCCAAACAATTGGACTACCTATGTAGCAAATGTATTATCTTTTCAATTTACACACGGCATCTATTGCACGTCTGTCCGTCCTGGGAGAGGGATCCCTCCTCTGTTGCTCTCCCTGAGGTTTCTCCCATTTTTCCCTTTAAACTGTGGGTTTTCTCTGGAAGTTTTTCCTTGTACGATGTGAGGGTCTAAGGACAGAGGGTGTCGTATTGTCATACTGATATTCTGTACAAACTGTGAAGTCCACTGAGACAAATGTAACATTTGTGATATTGGGCTATATAAATAAACATTGATTGATTGATATGTACATTTCACATGAGATACAGTAGAATTAACTTATTTTGATTGCTGAACAAATATAATAACTAATACAAACAATAGCTTAATTCATCCGACTTACCTAGTATGCTGTAATGCTGTTTTTTTGTATCTCTCTTTCGATCCCTAAATGCTGCACCAGTATTTGTTTTTCGAGCTGTTCCTGAGGGCTGTGGCGGTGACTGAAAGGCTCAAACGTAAACTTTGATGTTATCTCACCCTGCTTTGGGATATGAGTCAACTGGTGAGGCTTAGTTTACAGTTCCCTGGGGTACACACCTGTTATGAGGTCACAAGCCTCATGAAGCTTTTCCTTTTTGTCCTCCACACTATCTTGATGACCTCTCTCAAGGACATGCAACACAAAAAAAGGTCTTTCCAAAAGAGAAAAGAAAGAAAGACAATACCTTGGCCTATCTATCCCACACACCTTATTATTTGTACGTACGGTAGCCCATGGCAGCAGTTTGCCATCTGCAGTTAGTGTTTGAACCTCCGTCTAACTGTAAAAACACAAGCCACAGGCCTGCACTAGCAAGACATGCTGAGCTCAGGATGAAAGGCATAAACAAAGATATCACTATGAAATGATAAGCATATGGGCTATTAAATCAGGCACACAGTGGATAGTCGGTAGTCACTCACTGTGGAATAAATGCCTAAGCGAATATATGTGCCGCATTCAGAGAGCCCCGGATGAGACGATTCTGGACACTTGTTATGCTAAACTCAGATTGTACGACACCAGAGGAATTTAATATGTGACAGGTTTTCCATCAGAGTTAAAAAGTCTTTAAGCCTTGATGGGTGGCCAGCTAAAAACTGTGTATTAAAATTTCACTACAGCAAGGGGGCCTCCGGGTTACTGTCAGTTTACAAGAAACAGTGTTCAATTATGGTTGGAGCCTGAATATACTGCATCGATGTAAACGTACCAGCGCTGCTCATATTGGTTAAATTAAAGACAGTAAATCAAGTGCTAACACTGTCTTTGCTACTTACACTGGCTTCATCTCAAGCCTCCAGTTCACTCAGCTAATGCATACAGGTTTTTCGAATGTATGTTATTTAATACCTTATTAACAAACTAAATGCTGCATCAGGATGTTTTTGCTCTCTCTATATGTTTCAATTATTGTGTTACTACTCTCGGGGGCAGTGACAGTGACTGAACATGACCTTTGATTATATCATGCCCTCTGCTTGGGGATGTGACTCAACCGGTTTGATCTAGTTACCCGGGGTGCCTCCATGGGAGAGGAAAACATGTCACTTTGATTTGACCAAAAAGGGAAGTAAAAGTGTTATTTCTGTACAACATTGTACATTGAAAATATTCATCAATATTAGTAATAGCACAAAGCAAATCACAAGTCTGTTAATATTACACAAAACACATGTAGTGTCCAAATCATGTTGTCTTTGATAGTTCTGGATTTTTATGGGATTTTGCTGAGAATAACAATAATAAAATATTGCCTGCCTTTCGTTTCATAAGTAAAGGCAATAAATCATGTATGGACACTGATTTTGGTTCATTGTCATAATCCCTTTAGTTCAATGCACTTCCTTTCCCATACAGCTCCTGCTAAAGCGGTGATGCTCAGTCTCCATGACTTTCATTAAAGATGTTCACTGAATGGAAAACAAACAAACAATGAATTGGGGGATTGAGTTTGATCTTTTTTCTGTTTCTGTTTTCAGATCAAATTTCTTAAAGTGGAGATGGAGAAAAAAACCAAAATCATCAAGGACTTACAGCAAGAGGTGAGTCATCAAAGCATCATTTAGGCTAGTTTGAACCCTGCTTTAAACAACACGTATTCTCAGTTAGTGCGTTTAAGAGATACATATGTAGCCATAAAGGAAGAATTTACTCCAATTGACCGATCAGGAACCCACTTTCCCCGCTTTGACCACCTCTATGTCATTTAATGATTATCTGTTTCTCTGAATATCTCCAGGGACCAGAAGAGAGCTAGTAGCTTTTAATCAGAGGTGGACATTCGCCTGCATGTATCTGTTTGAGCGTGCACTTTGCGAATACTGGAGTCTGGTGTGATCATGATGGTTATCGAGACTGTCATGGCTTGCGTTGGTTGAGAAATCGGTTTCTTCTATTCTTCCTCTGCGCTGGATTTCTCACTGCCTGATTGTTGAACATCGTATAGTTTGTCAAAACTAAAGTTTTTTTTGGTCTATTTTTATATTTACCACTGATTCCTTAGACAGCTAGAGAAAATAAAAAAGTTCTGCCGGCAAATACCATTGTACAGTAACTGTACTGAATTTGTGACACCACATTATCTGCCGCTTGGCTTGTTATCTGTGAAAAAAATTGAATAAAATACTAAAAAAACAACATCAAAACAACATCAGCCCATTAAATGCTGCAGAGCTACATCTGCAGCAGCTTTTTAAAGAGGTTTCTTGTTGGATGTTTCCATTGGTATCTTTTGTTTGTCTGTCAGCAATACACATAGGAAAATTGTCAAGATAAAACTTGTGCAGACCGGTACTTTGAAAAAATAATATAAAACATGCAGCGACAGCCACTTAATGGTTTTTACTGAACTTGATAGATATGTGAGGCCCTTAACTCAAAAGCCTGCTTATGAATGACACAAGGTTTCATACCACTGTTTCTTTGTTTTAATTAACTCCATTTGAAATATAGAAACACAAAAATGATTTAATTTTGACTGCAATTTTTGTATGATGACAGGCTCATTTTGATGTACCTGTCATCTGAAACCTTATTGACACCACACAAAATGCAATACATTCATGATTAGCTAGAAAATAACTTTTCTTCAGGAACACATGGCACATTTGCAAATATACATAGCTAAGATTTGCCGTTTGTTGTTCAAATATCAAAGGCCCCTAATGTCCTTTATTTCACACTATGGTGTTTATTGTGTTTATTTTCCAGTATATATTTTTATTGCACATTATCAATATGTTGCCATTGCTATCATTCAGTCACAAAGGCTGTAAATAAGAGAGCTGTCGAGGCATTTTCAAAAACAAGATGGCTGCAGCTGATGTAAGCTTTCTTTTGAAGCTGCTATCTTGTCAATATTGAACAAACCTATTGTTAAGGATCTATCAGTTGCATATTACGCTTTTCTTTATTTTCTTCCATTGACTGAGAAGTTCAACACTAATTTGCATTTGTAATTATGTTCTGGCAAAGTTCGGGTGACTCTATCAACCACAAAGTCAGCCGTTGTATAACTGATGGATATAATAGAAATAATATTGCACACCAGAATCTCTATAGAGAAATCCAGATTGTGTCTGTGTATTCAAGCTATGATTGAATGCTGAGAGGAGCAATGAATACAAACATATTTTAATGACGAATGAATGGACACATTTGAAAGGAAAACGTATTTAAAATACTTGTCAGACAAAGAACTAAATATAATAAAATGGGTTCTAAAGTGGATAGGCCTTGAATCTTTTTCTTTGATTGATTAAAAAGTCTCAATACATTTCAATTTGGTTTGATTCAGCGTGTCTGTGAATGTATCCCATTGGAATGTTTCTTGCGTGTGAATCCACGTGAATCAAGTCATTTTCACAGTCGGAGGTAGCACATGAAGGCAACACTTGCTTTTACAGACTCAATGACTCATATAAGAAGCCATGATTTGTCTTTGTAATTAACAATTAGGGATTTATTTATCTCTTAAATTAGATCTTATTTAGAATTAGAACATGTGCTTAAACACTGACAGGGCGGCGTAAAAAGGAAATGTGCTCTGATGTTTGCCACACACATTTTAGTTTTCTGCCAAACCTCATTACCATAAGTCATTAGTTGATGTACCACTAATCTCTCCAATTCAAAGAGCTGGCAAACAGCGTTGCCAACAATTTGACCTGAATTGGAGTGAACTGAAATGTTATTTACAGATTGGAAACATAAACAGAAGTTTTTGGTGGAAATGCCATGGTAATGCCTTCGCACACCAGGTGAAGTAGCACTAAGGTTAGTAACTGATATCAGTCAAAAGGCCGCTGGACGAGGCAAAGAGCAGGAGTACAAATGGAAAGCATCTTTCAGAGACCCATTGCCGCCCCCCCCCCCCCCCCGGCTGTCATGCGAGTGCATCATTGTTGACATTTTGAGGTTTGACTTGTTCTATTCCAAATGTATCTATCTTGGTCTCTGTTGGTGTGAGGGCCTTTGTAATCACAGTGAGGTCATTTGTAGTCAACAGACATCTGGGAACTTCTGTGACATTTGTAGTGGCTACATGCAGGGAATCATGAGAATAATTTCCCCGCATCTGGTACATTTGTGAGATACGGAAAAAAAACCTTGCACAAACTCAAAGGTCAGGATTGTTAAAGCATTATCATCAGCAGAATCTTCTATTCTCAGTCTGATTGCATGCTCTCGACTAGTCTGCAGCTTCAAAGAAAAGGAATAAAGGCATACACTATTTTTGATTGAATATCACCATAAAAAATGCTGCCGTAATGTTAAACGTGAGGTTCCTGCACATTTATAGTTTTCCTTTTTCATACAATACTACTAGGTTTCCTTTATTATTATTTGTCGTAAAGTTAGTCAGAACTTTATACATGTTTTCTACGCTAAAATAAACAAAACTGTTTCCTACAGACAAGCATGTATATATTATACAATGTTATGAGCTTGGTTTCTATGTCCTGATACATTGTAGTTCAAGAGGCAGTGCATTACCTGGGACTAGCTCCCGTATTTCCTTGAATATAAAAATGTGTGAATGCATAGCAGCTTTTATTGTATGTTCATTTAGGGAAGCTTAGGGATATTTTAGAGTGAGTTTCATGATTATAGAGCTATTTCAAACTAATGCATTCCGACAACCCAGCAACAAATCTTAGCTTCATGGATTAAAATCTTACATTTTTTATGAAATGATGTTGATTCAACTTGACTATAATTTCATCCCATGAATCAATAGAGGTTGACTTAATATTAAAAACATATTTCAGTGCAACTTAAAAGGAATACATTGAGCAGTACAACCTTCATGATGGCAGGGTTTATTGCAGGGCTGGTGTCATTTTTATTTAATCGTTTATTTGAATAGGGACAATGCACATTAATGAACACTTTAGACAAATAATGCTTCAAGTGTTAATATGCCGGATTTTAGCTTTGAGCTAATTTCCATCCGTAGTCCCTGACATACAACATATAAGAACATGACATTTGTAAACATAGCAAAAAATAAATACATGATATGCAAAAGAGCAAGAGCAGCACACACAAGTATTTACCACATGGCAGTACACTATAGCAGCAACGACATAATAAGTGCAAGAGATGATACAAGACAAGCATAAAGTGCAAGAAGAGATACCCCTGTGTCTTAGACTTTATTCATTTATCGTATCTACGTTCATACGGGACGTGAGTTTAAGCTAGATATGGCATATCTAGCTTAAACTCAGGTCCTGTATGGTTCTAATGCAAAAACTCAGAATTGTGAGTCTGTAAATATCTCCCTGATAGAGCTGAAAGGAACATATGTAAAGCTAACCATATTCTTTGTTTACATCGGCCATTCAAAATGTGTTTTTTATTTGCAAATAACTGTGAACTGCATGGTGGTGTCAGCAGGGAAGCTTTACAGCTGTGGAGCCATTATCAATGATTTGCTTTCAGGGTCTTTTATGCGTGTTTTGATGGAGAATGATTTGTAGACTGATTTGGATCCTGCTGGGATTCATCAGGTTCTCACCGAGCATTATAATGGACAGCTTTGCCACGCACTCAGCTACTCACTGCTGATGCTGATGTTTTTTAGTCTAAAATGGCTTCCCATCATTGTCTTCTTCGTTTCATGTCTTCCTGATGTAATTTATCCGGCTAAACGGCATTAAAAAATATCATGCATCAGGGCATTTACTGGATCCCTCAGTATCTCTTAGTGATACTCTTACTGGAATAAAGAGTCAAGAAAGGAGAGTAGGCAAAAATGGAAAGTGCATCAGTGTAAATGTTGAACAGGACAATGAAAAATATACTGCAGTTAATATAATATTATAGTCTAGCAAGTCATGTAATTTTTTCTTTAAATATAAAAAACACTTATTGATGCCATAAAGTCACTTGATCATAATCTTCAGAAAGTGATAAAACACATTACATAGATGTTAGTTAGTCATTTTTTATTAGTGTTATTGTTATTTAAAGTACTTCAAATTTTCACCAAAGCACGGATAAAATGAGAAAGGAAATTGAATATTCTAAAAGTGTGTACTCTGAGTCACAGTCACAGACATTGAATATATCTGTGGCTTTCATTAATATTTGGGCAGTTAATGTCTGTATTTTCTGTCTCATGGGAAGACAACTTTGAAAATAATTATTTTTCTCGTTATTACTCCACACGACACGCTAAGCTTCAGCCATTTATTCTCTAAGTCAATGTTGCCTTGAGAATAAATGGCTTCTTCGCTACTCCAATGGTATATTTCTCAACAACTGAGTAGCCACTGAATTAACACAAATAGGCCCCAAAAGGACTCTATCAAAAGTAATTTCACACATATCATTGCTGACAAGCATTAAAAGCAACGTGAGCTGACATAAATGTAGGATTCATTTAAATAGAGTGAGACGTGTCATGGCATACAATGTCGTAGTTTTTGCACTGGACAGACAGGCAATGTGGAAACTGATCGATGGTGTTCACATATCAGGCACAGCAGGCCAGACTTGTTACGTCAGGAGAACAATGGTGGACTTGACAACCAGC